TGCAAGCACTGTCAAAGGGTGTGTATCTTTTGTACACATGAAGTGACGGAGCTGAAGATCTAAAACCATCAGAAAATTTGGAGATGAGAGGTGAAACTTGCCCTAGTATATCGACGTGAGAATCTGAATCTGAAGAATTATTTGCATAGCCACCTACTAACAGTCTAATTGATTTGTCTCTGGCCACTTGATGTTCAGACAAAAACTTTTGATGAAAGAGGGTTTGAGATGTTTGTTCTACCAACACTACCGCATGGGGACACCAACCGCATGCATACGAGTTTTCTGATTGGGTAGTAGATTTTCCTCAGCTCCCATGGTATTTTCCATGTTGAACGTGTCTATAAAGATTCAGATCAATTGAGCCTCAAATTGCTTTGGTACTAATTCCGTTCTGGAGTTGACCAATGTCACAAAACCTGAATATAAAGAATTATATACTTCTTCATTCTGTAGATACTAGCTGCCTAATAAACTGGTAGGAGAGGAAAATTATGAAGGCCTAGCTCCCGAACCTTAACAGGCTAACAGCAATGATTCCTAGCTTTCTTTTATTTTACTCCAAGCATGGCAATGCAAGCACTGTCAAAGGGTGTGTATCTTTTGTACACATGAAGTGACGGAGCTGAAGATCTAGTAAGTACCATCAGAAAATGGTACGCGAGATGAGAGGTGAGGCTTGCCGTAGTAACTAGAAAACGACGTGATGATACGTACTGTGATATCTGAAAAACTCCAATTATTTGACATCACGCAAGGTCCGGAAGTTTAGAAAAAGCTCAATTAATTTGAACTTCCAGTTATAGTTTGTCTCCTTTGTCATTGCCACTTGATGTGATTACCGATTTCTATTATAGGTAAAATAACAACCTTCCCTAATTTGATGGCCAAATCTTCTTTTTGATTGCGTTGTTACTAGAGAGGAGAACTAATAAGGTTTGAGAGAAAGAGGTGATTCTTTGTTCTACCAAATACACTAATATAAGAGCGAATTTCATGGGGATCGATTTGAAGCCTCCACGACCTTGTTAGTTTCCACCTCATGTACATCTTCATTTACATAGTGGATTGTTCGCTCATCGTTGCCCATGGTTTTTTCCACAAAGGATTTCCAAGATCCTTGTGTCTACTTATGATTCTAGATTTCTGTTGCCATTTGTGGTGATTGCTCATCAAATTGCTTGCTATTGGTGCCATTTATTCAAGTTGATGGAGTTGGATGGCATATGTTGAGTTGGCATATCTGAGGCATATGCTGATGATTTGATGATGGGGATTCATAACCGGTGAGCTAGTTGTGGAAATACCTCAGATATTGGGATCAGCTCTAGATTTGTGAAAATCGTGATTGGGGACTTAAATGCTGAAATTCCAACTGTAGCAACTCATCAAGATCTACAATTCTTGTTTTGAACTTTCCATTTGAGATTTTCTGAACTTCTGGGATTTTTAAATTTCGCTGAGCTAGTTTGATTTGGGAAAAGTTTTGTACAACTTTGTTCAGCTCCAAGATCTACAATCCTTATATAGTTTGGTCCACTGCTCCAATGCGTTGTGGTCACATGATGCTTGTGCCGAGTTGAGAATCAAAATTAAAAAAATGGAATGAAGAGTGCACCAAAAATAGACTTGTGCCATTTTAATTAGGTATATACAGTCTCAAGGTTAGACTTTACCACTGTTTTTTTAATGTGTCTTTTATAGCTATAAAACCAAATTAGTGTAAACCATCTTGGAATCTGAATATAGTATATTATATTATGTATAGAAAACAATTTTTCTTGAACTAACTAAATACTCAATATAGAATCCCCACATTAATTCCCGTAAAATGCGCAAGAAAAAAAAGAAGAGTACTAGAATTCACAATAAATAGAAATAGCAAACAATTAATTTTGTAGTAGACTCTAAAAAATAGAAGTTATAGTTTTGGATATATATTTTGTTTTCTAAAAATGTCTCATTTGAGCAAGTACCCACCTTTGTCATTGAAAAAAACAGATTATGAACTAGAATACTTCTAAATCTTGAATACCAATTACCGATTTCTACCATTATAGGTAAAATAACTTTTCAAATAGTTTGGATGTCCTTCCCTTTTTAAATATATTTTTTCTATGAATTTGGTCAATTTTGAAGCACTAAATGATTAGATAAGTTCAAATTTCAGTTTTGAATGACATAATTTGAAATTTCTCCATCCAAGGTGGGAATAATGATAAAAAATATCCTGTATAACTAGCTATTAACATCCAGCAATGGAGAACGAGCAGGCGTGCAACCGGAGTTCCTGCTTGAACGCAAAAGGTGTGTTTGGATAGAAGAAACAATTTTGTTTCTCAATTGCAGGAATTAAAACTAAAACGATTCTGGTTTTCTACGTCAGAACACAAAATGAACACAGGTTGGTTTCTACCGTTTCTGTTTCTGGCCTCCCGTCTATAATAGTGATTTTATTTTTTTAGTTAATCCCTTTGAAGTGGAACATGTTAAAATGGGTTGTATTTAAGTTGTTATTCGCCTTAACGCAGTATAACTACAATCTTAACGAGTGCTTGTGATAGGAGACTAGGAGTATTTTCCTATGGTCATTGATATTTGTTGATGCCAGAGTTGGTTACCTCTTTGACCTCACCCAGTCACATCACGTTCTGACTCTCAACAATAATCTCACCCTCACGATCGGACCCTGCATAATTGCTCGATTGAGCGAACAAAGGACAAACGAGCAGTCCACCGCCTGGGCGTCATCCCACACTCCCACTAGTCAGCTACAGCTAGCACGTCAAACTAGGCCAGGTCCTTGTTTCCTCTAAACTCCTAAAAAATGCAATATACAAAAAGAAGATTTTTCTTCACATCAAATTTGCGGTACATGCATGAAGTACTAAATGTAGACGAAATAAAAAACTAATTGCACAGTTTGCTTTAACTTTGCGAGACGAATCTTTTGAGTCTAATTAGTTAATGTTTAGATAATAATTCACAAATACAAACGAAATGCTACAATAGAGAATCTTCACTATGCAAAATTTGCCTGCGCAAACTTTGCCCAACTAAACACCCCCCATGGTCTCTCCCCCGAGGCCTCAGGCCCTCACGTCAAACTAGCCAGGTCTCTCCCCCAAGGCCTCATGCCCTCAACGGCTCATTTGGGCTCGTTTGGCTAATAAGTCAGAGTTGAAAGTATGGTTGACTAATTTATTTTGAGAAAAAAATATTATTCATAAATTAAAAAAATACGACTTATAAATTAAATAAGTCCAAACGAGCATGGCGCAACTAAGCGTTGACGACAGGAAAGGCACGCCGCACGCGCATGTGGGTGTGGCCCGGCCGGCCGGGGTCATCGGCGTGCACCTGCACCCCGCCCTTTCGGGGCCGCGCTGAGCCCCTACCACCGTGACAGCTGCGCTTGTCCCGAGCGACACGAGGTAGTGTGGCCAAGCTCGCCGAGGGCGACGTCCGCCAATGGGATCGCATTTCAGCCTCAGGTCGGGGCAGCGGCAGAGCGATTCGTCAGGATTGCTGCATGCGCCGGTGAGGCCTTGCCCAGGTGCGGTGCGGACGCCAGACTGGACTGCGCGCGCCCTGTGCTGTCGAGGAGCTACTAGCCATATTTTTACACATCGTCTCGTGACGCATGTACGCAGCAGGGGCAGATGCGCATCAAGAGTCGTACAGAGTCCAGATAGGCAGCAGATCGGAAAGATTGAGCGGGCCGGAACTGAACCTGAAGGAATGGACATACTACTCATGTAGGCAAGGCGATAAGCTGCAAACTGATGCATTTTTTTTTTAAGAAAAGAGAATATATTAATAATATATAGCTTCTGCATCCACCAATGCATATAGCTGTTTCTTATTATAAACAAGAGTACTACGGTCCAAGGAATCTCAAAAACGAAGTTTTGAGCCAAAGAGAATAAAAATAACGTTTCTAAAAACCACATCTAAAAACCAATTCTACTGCTAAATCTCCAACCATGTCTTTACAAACACCTCCATCGTGGTTATTTCAATATTCCTGCATCCCATCTTCATTTTCTGGCGATCCTCCTCCTTGGATCTGATCCAGTAAGTACCCCTGAAGATAGCCTGTAAACACTATGTTATTCCTAGTTAGCCATAGCGTCCAACAAATTGCACTTGTTCCCACAAGAATCTGATATTTCAGTTTCCTATTCATCACTTCCAAGGACCCTTAAACAAATTATGTATGCTAGTTGGAGGTATTAAATTAAAATAAACATGGAGAATTCTCCACATAAATTTAGCAAAATAGCAATCAAAGATCAAACTGATGCATACATCCACCCCAGGTATATTGGATTCCCTTACGCTGGCAGTCTGCCAATAGCTGCACAAGCGCAGGAATTTCCCCTGAACCCCCAATAGTCACCTTGTTCTCATCAACAAGAGGCCACAATGTTCATGATTCCAACATGCCGATTTCTGGAACTATGGAAAGCATGGAGCTATGGAAGGGGCAGAGGAGATGGGAGGAAAAAAAAACATGTTACTGGACAAAAGCTTACACCTCACCAGTTGTTTTACTTGTTTTACAAACTCAGGATCATTCAACCCAGGGCAAAAAAATCCCCCAATGCTCCACTGTCAGGACTGGATGAACAAAACACTTTTTTGAACTAAAGTTTTACTGCAACTTTGTCAGGCACGTAAGGTTCTCAACCAAGGACGCCAGAATTAGTCCTGTACTGGGCACCGGGTACAAGTTCAACGACACCTCCCTAAAACTCGAGGATACTACCTTCAATCACCGGTACATTGTACGAACACACGCAGGTTAATAGCTGCCTCAGAACCCACTAGTCAACATGCTCATGGACCTAAATCACGCTGCCCAGACCTCCTAATTTGCAGTGTTCAACAGAAAGCAGAAACCTCCACAATAACAGTTGCAGGCAATCTTCCACCTGCCAGCCTGAGCTAAAAAAACAAGCCAATAACTAGACAAAACATGCTGCTGATCAAAAACCTCATCTATCAGAAATATCTGATGAAGTGGGACGTAGTGATCGCTCAGCTTGCATATCTGCGTGTGCTTGAGCTTGAACTAGGATCTGAGGCTGCGCTTGTGCTTGTGCTTGTGCTTGCTCATGAGCATGTGCCATGGCCTCTGCTTCGGCTTGGGCTTGACTCTGCTGCTTTAGGAACCAATTCATTCGTTCGAGCAGCTGCACAGCTTTCCTCTTTCCTCTGTCTGTGCCACTTTCTGCTAGCTCCTCCAGCAAAGACATGATGCCCTGCTCTTGTGCTTCAGCAAGATGCTGTTGCTGCTGTTCGCCTTCGCCATTGCATAGATGCACCATAACAGCAGCAGCATTTTCCTTGCTCCTTGGAGATCCATTTCTGATAACTCCAACAAGTACAGGTATTGCAGAAGCAGCGCCAATAGCTGTCTTCCCCTCAGGGTGGCCTGAGAGGATTGCCAATATTGCAAGGGCCTCATCTACCATCCCACTTTCAATCTCCATGAGTAATTCTAGTAGTATAGGTACCAATCCAGCTCTAACAGCTTTCCTCTTGTTGCCCTGGTAAATACACAAGTTAAATAGTGCTGTTGCTGCATCCTTTTTACCCCGTTGGCTTCCATCACTCAATAGCTGCACAAGCGCAGGAATTGCCCCTGAGCACCCAATAGTCACCTTGTTCTCATCTACAATAGATAGACTGAACAGTGTGGCAGCTGAATTCTCCCGAGCCTCCATGCTGCCCCTCTTTAATACGTGCACAATTCCAGGAACAGCTCCAGAAGAGATTATTCTTGCCTTGTTCTCTTCATAGATGGAAAGATTCAAGAGAGCAGTGACCACGTGTTCCTGGGTGCTAACATCAGTGGTTGATAGCATACTAACAAGAATAGGAATAGCACCAGCATCCCCAATACAAGCACGATTTTCAGCACTGCGCTTGGCAAGCTGACGAAGCATACCAGCAGCGCCACGTTGATCTTCAAGGTTTTGGGATGACAGTTTCTGAAGAAGCTCAAGAACATTGCTATGCTCAGCAGCACTACATGGCAATGGTGCATCCCTAAGTTGAGCAGGGCGTTTTGGAGGTTCAATACCATTTGCCTCGCACCATTGAGTTATGAGGCTACGCAGGACATAATTTGGAGTCAGGGATTTATTGGCAAGCTTCTGCTGTGTCTTCGGACAGGTATCATGGCCAGCCTCCAGCCACATCTCTATGTACCCCCGCTCATAAGTCTGCAGAGGCATATGCAAGGAATTGTGAGCTGAAATGCAAAAGGTCTGTATATTGAATGGAAACATTTTAATTGGATAATGGACAAAAGTATGACCTGCCCAGTGGCGACAATAACTGGGTCATTCATTAAATCCAGTGATATTGGGCAACGGAAATCATCAGGAATAACAGGACGTGCTGAGTTGTCTTTTGGGGAAATGTTTGCTGTACTTGCTTGAGCACCCATCTCAGGGTCTTCTGTCTGCACAAAATCCTTAATCCTTTTGAGGAGCATTGACATCTTTTCAACAACTGCACCTGGATCACCGCCACTAGCCATCTCATGCAAGGTCAGAGATTCATGATTGAGGTCAAATATTGTGACAAGCTGCAACTTCTCAGATAACCTTCGAAGAATATCTGGGTCAACACTAGCACTGCTGCTTGAATTATAGAGAGACATCAGGTCATTAAAAAGATCATCATCAGATAAATCCGATCGTTCCTTAGCTCTTTTGAACTGAGTATGCACCAATTCAACCTGCATAACATTGCAGATATTATGGTATACAGAACAAGGAAAAAACATAAAAACGGTAGTACTATAGAAAGCATTAATGTAAAGAGAAACTCTGGAATATAGTAGTCTACCTGCTCTCTTACTTCATCAGATATATTAAGTTCATCAAACGAGATACCAGCTAAGGCTTGTTCAAGTCTTGCAGTGACATCCTGGAAAGTCTTCATTATTTTCTCTCTATCAAGAACCTGCAAATAGCAGAGGCTTTATGGTATGAATGGTCATGCTGGTGTATCTAGCACAAATAATATTTAAATATGTGCTTACTGCCAAAGTGATCACTACAACATAAGAGAAAATTAACCACACAAGGGATATGCAGGGATCTAATGATAGGCTTCATTTGATGCTCATATATGATCTAGTACCAAATCATACTGGTCTACAACAAACAAGCTTGTGCAAATATATAGGATTCATTTAGTGATCGTATAGGATCTAAACATTATGTAAAGTAGGGCGTAGGGTGGAGACAGTAGTAGATAAGGGTAACTCAGCTTGATCACATGTGATAGAGGCGATGGAACTAAATTCCCAATGGAAGGCTGGCTATATCCTATCCTCCAAAGGAGTTCAGTGAGGCAGCACCTTGATTCCTCAATCCTCATGCTTCACGGTCACGGCACCAGAGGCCAATTCGTGTTAGGAGGAAAAGAGTTTGGTAGTCAAGGTAAATAAGACAAAGAGCGAGTCGAGCTACTAGCATTTCCACTTTTTGATGGAGACATGGCAGTGACGACTTGATGAGTGATGTGGATAGAGACAACTACCAAATTGGTAAGATAAAGGAAAAAAGACATATTTGGATGGTATTGAATTGTATATCTAAATAGAGTAATTTACAGTGATGTGGAACTAATGTTTCCTATGAATAAGCATGCAATCCTCTTACAAGGCCTCAGAAGTAACGACATCACCACTTGCTTAAATATGACCACCTTTTACAACATGAGAACTGCTCCAGTACTCCTCTTTCTGAAAATTACACACATCTCAAAGCAGCCCAACTAAATAAGTTAACATTTTCTTCATTATGTTCATTTGGGTCCCGCTTGGGCCCTTCCAACCCAAATCATTCCCAGCCCAAACCCAATCCTCTACATCAGCTTTCTTCGGAGCTTTCTCGCGAGATGAGTCCTTCACGACAGCGGAGCTCCATCCACAACTTCTCCAGCACAAGTCGATCTCATCTCTATCTCCCTTCTATATATGGCCTTTGTTTGGTGCGCGCTGTTCCATACTTCCGTCCATCGGTCCATGTGCGGCAACACGAGGAGGCATGTCACCCTTCTCATGGAGGCAGAAATATACATATACTTATATGTATACCTGATGTCGATGCCCCGCCCTCGAGTGCACCTGTCGTGGAGTGCAATCATCGTGGACTCTCCCTGTCGTCCATCTTATATGCCTTTTCTTCGTCACCGTCGGGAATGGGAGATGTGGTGTCCATGCATTCAGATGGAGATGGTGGTGCTCCCTTGCCAGCAATGCCCGCGGCGACGTCCAAGATCGACGCAACCGTCACGGTGGTCGCCCTCACGTACCTCCAACAACGGCAGCAGCCATTAGAGATTTAGAGGCGGCAGACTTCACACGGCCAAGAACCAGCAGCGAATGGCCCCAGCACACCTCCTCATGCGAGATGTACATCCTCACACAAAACAGAAGAGGTAGGAGCTTGCGACTTGTGAGTCCGGACTCCCTCACGACGAGATGGAAGAGCGCCGGAGATGCTAAGGGAGACGGACGCGCAGATGTTAACAACTGCACTGGATTTGGGCTGGGCACGAATTAGGCTTTGAAGGGCCAGGCCCATGAGGGACTAGATGGATAATAATCAAGAGTATTAAATTAATTAGATGGACTGCTTTGAGATGTGTGCTATTTTTAGAAAGAGGAGTATTGGAGCAATTCCCTTACAACATTACAATGGAACCATGCAGCTTTAAAAAAAAATTGTGACTATGCAGCTTTAAAATTCTGCACAGCTTTTATACTTACAACAACAAATGTTTAGCTTAAGTTTCCAGTGAAGAAAGTTCTGTGACCAGATGACTACCATTATGTTCTGGGTTGACTCATCTTACTCCACTACTGTTAGTCCATATAAGTAAGCAATGAATTAAGTTAAAAATCAGTTCCAGTGTGGAGCTTGATGCTATAGATCCATGTCAACCACATTCTCTAGGCATATGTCTTCTGCTCATAAGAGTTTACACTAGCATCACGGCCATTCTTATCCGCCTGCGCCACAGAAATGGAATAGAAAGTGCAACTGCACAAATGCTAATGTTCAACCAGGTATGGTAATCAACCTAGCAGTAAATAAAAATAGAATGGAGTAATTACATGGTGAGTTTTCACTCCGTATTTCACAGAAAAAAATTGCAGCTATGAAGCTCGTAGGTACTATGTTTATGGCATATTAAGACCTCAATGGGCAAAGGCACAAACTAAACAACTTTGGAATACAATGATACTGCCGCTTACACCATAATTAGAAGGTGCATAATCGGATCCAAGTGGCAAAACATGGTTTGGCCAAGTCTGAAATGTATGCATAAACAAAAAAGGTAACACCTAAGATATTGGACAGACTTGTTCAGCGGCATTAAACAATGTCAAATGCCCTGACTCGGCATTGATTTGACAGCAAGATATTCCAAAAGACCAAACCTAGTCAAACCTTCACCAAGTAATTCACATTTCATAATAACCCAAAAGAGTGGCAGGCAAAAACTTAAATTCCTTGGTGTGCCGTCGGAAGTGCTTAATTCCGTAGTGTTAACACACTTAACTTCCCTCCTATTTGCCAGGCAAATTCTCTTACCACCACAGCGAAATCATAATTTATCACGAAAATCAGTATAAACAGAAGAAATTTAAGCGGACGAGCATAAGCAAGACGACAAAGCCACACAGGCCTTAAGCGAGAAATCTCACCAGGAAGATCTTGCTGCCGCTGCTGCCGAGCCGGAGCAGCTCCCGGGCGGCGTGGAGCGCGTCCCTGAGCCGCCGTAGCGCGGCCTCCGACGCCACCGGAAGCGGCGCGGGCGCTTCCTTGGCCTCCTCCAGCATGGGCACGAGGAGCCGGATCCGCCGGGACAGGTTGCAGAACTGCCGCCGGTACGAGTTCCTGAAGTCCGAGATGGCCGCGATCTCGCTCACCAGCTCGACCAACCGCTCAACTACCTGGCCCTCCTCATCCGCCTCCTCAACCTTTGCCTCCTCTCTCTCCGCCGTTTCTGAGCTCGAGGGCGGCAGCGGAGCGGCGGCCGCCTCGGCATCCGGGGCAGCGTCGGTGTTCATGTCCGATTGAGGACCAGACTTGGCCTCGTCGTCCATGGCAGTAGACCAAGCGCGCAGGCTCGGGCCTCGTCCTGCGCGCAGCACGGTGGCCGGAGACCGGGGGTTGTGGCGGAGCGTGGGGAAGGGGGATTTGGAGCAGGCGAGAGAGGCGGCCGAAAGTAGACTCCTGCTGCTGCCTCGCCTGGTATAGCTTCGCTCTGCTATGCGGGCCAGCAAACCGGTCCCACCGGTCAGCGTCACCCTCTCGCTGATATACGAGCTCCACGAGCCGCTGCCTCCCTCCGCCGCGCCGGCTCGGCTTGGTTCCGGCTTGTGCACCGGAATGGTAGACCCAGGAAGTGAGAACCTCAGCCGCGGGATCGCCATCGGTGCATGAACTGGGTTCAGGAAAACAGTAGTAGCTTGGAGTATCGCATATGGATTGTTTATTTGTTTTCCGTACAGCAAATGACGAATGGGTTTTGCTTATTTTTATCGGCTTTTGGATGGACGGCGGACGGAACCTCGATCAAATCAAAACCCAAAAAAGCGAAGGTGTCCGTCCGTGATGCGACCTGGCTGCTTGACGAACGGATTTTGTGGCTTAAATTTTTTTTTGAGAAACGGATTTTGTGGCTTAGTTTTTTTTTTTTTTGAGAAACGGATTTTGTGGCTTAATAAGCACTTTCTAATCACGAGCGGCTCAAGCTCAACGGTGGGCCCTAGAAGTTTGGGTGGTGTGTGATGATGTCCCGAGGGTACGTGTTAGTTTGAACTTATCAACCCCACTTTATCAAACGATCTACGATTTTTTTCTCACAACACAATCGAATCGGTGACTTACGGCTTACCAAGGCGGTACTTGGTTTGGCCCAGCACAGGTGGGTGTAACGGGCAAGCAAAGCGAGTGCAACAAGCCAGCAAACAATTACATCAGCAAAAACTTTAAGCATAGCTTTTTCTGGAGGATTCGTCGATGTCACTAGCATTTGGTCATTTGGTGATGTTAGTAAGATATTGTCTCATCTCAAACGCACAAAAACAATTTGTTTCTTTGCCGATGACGGATAATAGTAGACTAGGTCATCAAGGTTGAAATGTATGCATTGTACTGAACCCTCTAGGCTGGATTCGATAAGCACTACAAGTGTATGATAGTTACATATCATTGATTTCCACGCGAAAGTTTGTGGACAAAATGGTAAGGAGAGGATGCATGTTTTTTTCTTTTCCAGAAAGGCGTAGAGAAGAAGGGGTTCTTTGATTTGGACGCCTAGAAATGTATGATGCAGAAATCATGCACATAACCGAAATTGAATAGTTAGATCAAATAAGACATCTCTTCCAGATATTTCACCAGAGCAATGATGAAACCTCAGCTGTATGTATGAGACAAGTACTTTGCCTAGGTTTTATGATTTTCCCTAAAAGCTATAGTACACTTTCTCCAGCGGAGGTACAGATGCATTTTGCCTGTTTCGTATCTTGCCGGCGCACCTAAGATTCGTCAAAAATAAGTAATTATTTTATTTTGTCGCAAGCGGCAATCATGCAAGCCTTTTGCCGGCTGCGGGGTGCCTCCCAGTCCCAGGAATTGCCTGTTTCGAGCTGTAGCCGGCTCGTCTGCAAGCCAACAACATCACATCACCGACCGGGCTGCCCGCCCCGGCTCGGCTCGGCTGCCCACTAGCCGCGCACATGGACTGACGTGTTTCCCGAGGGATCCTGGGCCCACCTGCCAACCACCACCGCGGAGCCTCGTCCGCGCGATCCCGCCCGCCCAGTCCAGATCCCACGGGTCGGAGGAAAAGCAGGGGACCCCTCGAGAGGATCGGCCGCGGGGCGCGGCCTAGGAAACAGCGTAGGGGAAGCTTCTGGGCGCGCGACGCCTGTGCACTGTGTGCTCCTGGACCGCCCGCGCCGCGCCGTCGGGACCAAGCAGAGGCGATTGCGGGCGCGCGGCGGCAGCCGGCAGCGGCAGGCGGCAGCGCAGGGAGCGGACCCCACGGCGGAGCGGGCGCATGTGACTGGGGGGCGAAGACCGCAGAAAGCGCGAGTCATCGGCGCGGACGGACTCGTGTCCTGCGCGTGGCCCGCGGCCGCGCAGCCCCCAGGCCCCAGAACGAATCAAACCATGATGGAGCGGACGCGGGACGCCGCCGCCACCCCCACCCCCACCCCCACCGGGCAGGGGCGCAGGGCAGAGGCAGACGAGTGTCGTGGCTCGTGGCTGTGCTGCGCCGTGCGGCGGGCCGTCGTCTGCCGTGTCCACTGTCCTGTGGGCTGTGGCCACCGTGCGCGGGGCGCGGGCCAGCCGCCTCCCGCCAGGGGGTGAACTGACGCGGGCTTTTGTTCCGGACTTGTGCGTGGCTGGTCCAAAGAAAATGACCAATGCCCGTGACAAGCAAGAAGACTCTGCAGGAGCGGCAATTTCGCTGCGGCCTCGGCACGGCAGCAGCTGCCGCTGTTGCTGTCGACGGTCGCTGTATGCATGTACCTGTATGACTTGCCCGTAGGGCCTCTTCGGCTGCTCGTTCAAACAGGCATGGAGCTACAGATTTACACCAGCGCTACAGTGTTTTGAGACATGGTCCGTATATGGCCAGCCGTGACAGCCGCTGCTGCTGTAAAAAAAAACCAGCAGCCAAACAGGCCCGTAGGCCCGTTACACAGTATAACCTCAAGTCCTTCGTATATACTGTAGGAATAATAAATCCTCTTTCTGGTCGGCACTGTCCGAGCAGCTGTTGGGCCAGTTCTTATGGTTAGCTGGGCTAGCCCGGGCTGGGGCCTAGGGGCCCAGGCATTGATGGAGCGGCGTCGCTGAGCCTATTTTTGAAACGCTGGTGGCTGGATGCGGTCCGTGAGGCGTTAGCCCAGCACTGGGCTGCGCCCGCGTAAGTGGGCATTCTCTTGGATTGCAACAGTAGAACTTGAATCATTTTTAATTAATTATTAATAAGCTCCTATATGCAAGTTCAGTGCAGTTTTGGTGTTAGTTCTGCGTTTGCCACTTTGTTTAATAGTAACACAGAATTAAGCTACAAGACTGGTGTTAAGTCCTGCGTTTGCTACTTTGTGTAAGCTTTCCTACGAAAATAATACGTTAGACAGAAACAAACCTATTTGAGTTCGTTTGTTTTTCCTCGTTTCGCTGCTGCGCCACTAGGGTAGCCTACTCCATCTCCACGGAGAGCACATGATTTATATTCTGAATTAAATTATTAAATTGCATAATATAATTTCTTTTTATCTTTTGCTTTTTGTGAGCTCTTTAAATCTAGTACAAGGTTGAACTATAATAATGAATTGCTGGTTGAATGCAAAACTACTACGAATACAATTTCTTTTTTCTAAAAATAAGTACTGTGCATTTGTGTTTGGTTCTCTGAGCAGCCCCGGGGATTTTTCCAACCTGGGCCAATCTGTGTGGTTTGCTGGTTTCTCCGTGGACCAGGAGGTCCCCCAGCCCAATAATATCACATTGGCTCGGCCCGCTACTCATGCAGACTGAACATATATAATAAATCAGTTCTGGGTTTATGGCATTAATTCATTTGTTATTATACCTATAAAATCGCAGAACACCGCCTGTGCAATATTTTGGGCACGACTAAGAAAGTATGAATCCAATTGCAAAATCACTTGGGTGAAAATCGATTGAATGGATAAAATAAATGGTTGTACCTGAGAGTTGGAGTTGTATTTAAATTGGTGTAATCAAAGCAAAGCGTCTCTAAAGATAAAATTACTCTACCAGAATCAGATCATGCATTCATGCACCAGCACCACGGACTTCGTTTTTCTTTTCACCTAGGACCTCATCATCCGTACTGTGCCACCGACGTCTTTCTAAGATAGAAAAAGGCTAAAGTTCCACTGCTGGCTGATTATGGAAGCCACCTGACAGGAGGCAATTCTTTAATCCAACTCGAAAACAATGGAGGAAAGTGGTTAGCCGACGTATGCGACTCACATGGCACACCTGGTTGTAGGCTGCCGCCGTCGCACGACGTGGATGCATTTAAAACTGTTAACCACTGTGTATTTTCCAGTATATTCAGCTGATGATGGGCTTAACCAGTGCAGCGGCAGCACAACTCACCATTGGTTGTAGGTTTGCCTCCGCGTCGTCCGCTGTCACTGTCACCATCCATCCATCCATGTAACAGTTGGATCCAGCCAACCACTACGCCCGGCCTTCTCTTCCCCTCCACTTCTTTATCACGGCCTAAAAAATGAGGTAGCCACACAGCCCACAGGCTGTTCGTGGCAGACTGTTTTTCTATGTTGAAATGCAAAGGCGCATACGACAGCTACGTGGAACTTCCATTAAGCTAATACCCCTGTCTGTATATATACAGCCAAACATTCTGAGTAAGCAATGCAATGCAAAAGCTTCCTTGGAACAGATTTCGACACTGCAGACGACGGTTTAGGCCATGCGGCAACAATTGTCTAGTCTATGATTGAGGATCGCTTTCTTTATAGCGTACAAAGCATTTTCCACTCGATGGTGGAAAGTGGCAGTTTTTAACTTGAGGTGAGTCGGACCTTAGAGGGAGGACCAATTGACTGGTGAACAAGTACTGCCACCTTTTTACTAGTATAACCGTTTGTGACAATTGTCGTGGAAGTGGAACAAATGGCGTCATAGTCCGCTGCGCCAAGGTTATTAATGAATTTCTTATAGAAATAATGGAACTCCAAGCGCAAATAATTGATATGTCACGGTCAGATCACATAAGTACTTCGGTCATATCGCCATTCCTGTGTTTTGTATGTGTCGCATGGAGCTTACGTACAATAGTCACAACAATAACAACAACAACAACAACAACAACAAATCATTTAAGTCCCAAACAAATTGAGATAGGCTAGAGTTGAAACCCAACAGAAGCAATTAAGGTTCAGGCACGTGAATAGCTGTCTTCCAAGCACTCCTATCTAAGGCTAAGTTTTTGGGTATATTTCATCATTTTAAGTCTCCTTTTATTGCCTCTATCCAATACAACTTCGGTCTTTCTCTGCTCTCTCTCTCTCTCTTCGCGATGGTC